AAGAAGATTGGTAAGCAGATTTTTTGTTATTCACATAAAAATGTTCGGGTAGCTAATTTTTTAAAATTTGATAGAATTCTTACTTCAAGCACTGGGGTGTGCGATAGAACTACCTCCACGTGGTGCACCCTGGGCAACTATTACGCATACGTCAAAAGTCTATAAACTGGCAGTTGGCTTCTGACTTCAAACTACCATGACCCCACTGTATGTCATATTCGACCCCTTCTATAGTACTCACCTCATCTTTTTTCCACCTTCGTATCTGTCTCTTTTACACCTTTGAAACTCCCTTCTGCTCCCCCTCTCTCTCGACTTTTCGTCACTTTGATATTCCCCCTCCTCTCTGTGAAGCCCGAAGTTAGCTAAAAGGCTAATGATACCTTTCAAAACTCTTGACATTTGAAATAAATAAATACTTCAAGCACTTCAACGAATGCAGACTTCAATCACTACTTCCAAATAAGATTCACTAACTTGACAGAGTAATGGCAAGTTAGGTCTCCATTTTGGGTATCGGACACTTTAAACAATAATTGAATATCAAGAAAAATATTATATATTTATAATCGTCCGCAACATCAGCAGGACATACTCTGCTCTAGCTCGATCTCTACACTCAACTAATTGGTACCTTACACGGTGTGGTCTGGAGATATGAGAAATTGTTGATCATCCGAACAGCTGATTGATATCTAACCTCCAGGTATGACCAGAAGCACTTCAAAATAGATCAAAATGTAGTTTAGACTGTGTCATACTGGAAGGGAAAAACCATCTGCATTGAAAATAATTTCAAAATTAATAACACAATTTATTTGTCATTAGAAAAAATCCATTTATTCCTTAAGTTTGACATTAAATGCAATAAAGTAACAAAATATCTAAAAATTTTCATACTTTAATTAGTCTTGCTAATGGTTATCAAAGGCTCTGAATGCATTTAATAAATTATTAATAAATAACTTGCGAACTTGAACGAATTTAATTGCAAATTTATTTAATGAATCTGGAAAAAAATTTCAAAATAAATCGAAGGAAATTGCTGTAATTTTACGGTTACAATACATTGCTTTTTGTTAAAATTTATACTAGTATTTATTTTCTAATAATCACTCATTTAAAATAAGTTTCGAAGGGATAAAAAGTCTTCTTTTAGCGACGCCAGAAACCAATCCTTAAAAATCATTTCAACTTGGTATTTAGAAAAGTGTACTATTACGTGCGTGTTTATAGAACGCTTATCACTCAGTCGGCATATTGTAAGGGCTTCGGATGACTCATATCTATGATGCAGAGGTAAATATTTAGATACAGGAAACGAAACCATTTACTGATTTAATCTATTATTCGATAATTGCGTACCAAGAAAACACACCATAAAATCACTTGGCCAATGATGATTGTGCATTTGGCTATCCACCAATAATATTCGAGGTGCCTAGGTTAACAGACGCGCTATAGAGACCTCTATGAAACTTTGTCCCCCCATTATATCTCCGATAACCGCTGGGTTGGCGTACCATAGTAATACCCAATAGATCGGAGACGACAGAACTCCTGTTTTAGCACTTCAATCGCTATACCTCTCTCTCTCTCTCTCTGTGTGTGCGAGTGTCTTTCTTATCTCTGAGTCAAAATGAAGTCCTTTGGAGGACTTAGGATTGTTGTATTTTTGATGGCTCTTAGTCTACAGGCCTATGCCATTCTTGGTATGTTCTTCCTTCAAGCCTCATAATTCTGCTTCGTTTTTGGCACTTATTCAGAGTGATAAATTAATACACTACTCAGTTTCATTATTAGTAATATAATAATGATATTTTACTTTTTTGGTACCTTAGTATTCAATTTTAATTGATAAAAATCCTTTTCGGCCAATGTTAAAATTTCTGACATAATTTTAGATTATAAAAGTGGCAATTTGTTTAAATAATTGAAATCGTGAATAAAACACAGACCAAATTGAACTGATTCTTTGTTAAATAAGGATTATGTCAATAATGGAGATCAATGAAAATTACTTGGGATTTTTTAATTTAGCATTTAAATTTTGTTAGGAAAGGATAAATAAAGGTTTACATCAAATTTAAGACAAAATATTTAGGAAATAATTAGTCTATTTTTGAATGTTTATCTTATCTATAATGAATGTGTTTTAGTTATAACTAAAAGTCGTATTAGTAAATTCAAACAAATTGATCCTTTGAACCAATAGTAGATGAATGATAATATAGGAAACTTTATATTTTAACTTACTTTAAATTACAGCGACTTTTGACTCAAAATTTGTAGGAAAGGTTTTAATGCTGATAGCAGGTAGTTTACTACCATTACCAGAGGTAAGATTTGGTGAACGAATTATCAACATTTTCTTGAAATTTTTGACGCAGGACAATACTGGAGAGACAATTCGGATTACTACCGACGATATTATCGAAATAGCGACTACAATGACTACTGTAATGTTTCTATCATTCGGCAAATTCACAACTTTGCATGAATCTGAGCGGCGTTTAAAACACTAATTCACGCATGGTTAGAAAGAAATCGTTTTCAGCATTACACTGTTGCAGAGTTTAAAGAGTTTGTATATTATTGCGAATGAAATTACACTTTTAAACATTTTCCCCAACTTTTAACATCTGGATAGAGTAGTTGAACCTTATGCACCACAAAGACAGATGATACGGTGTTGTGATTATGTTAAAAGGCGAGCATTTTTATGTCAGATGAGGTCATTTCAATTGGCGGTGGCCTAGAAGACCCAATTGTTCATCTGACTGCTGGCGAAGACACTCCAGTGCGAGTCTCCGAAGGTGGAACACTGGAATCCAATTGTTACCTCGAAAATGAAACGGAACTTACTGGAACCTACTATTTCCAGTGGGTATCTATCGGCCCTAGGGAAAATAGAACGCTATCTAACAGTCGGGAACTTCGCCTGACTAATGTATATTCGGACTCTTTCCGTGATCCAATCTACTGTATCGTTGAGCGGGATGATGATGGCGAAAAGTTTGAGAAGCAAATCAGCATTGAATATTGTAAGACTATGCACGAACTTCTTCTCTCCTCTTCCGTGTCACCGCTTCGCTGGATTGATATGGAGCTAATAACGCTATCGCCCTCTTATTTTGTTGTCATTGTCAATTCAATATTCCTCCCCCCCCCTCGGCCATTTTATTTATCTCCTCTCCCCAAATAATTGCATGCTTTGCTGTCGCTTTGATTTGGCTGTCGACTGTTTAATTAAGCACACACGCGCACACCTTTGGCGTTTCCATTAAACAGGAAAGGTTGCATGCTCTCACCGATAAAATTTTTGCGCATGAAGTGATTTATGTATTAATCAGTGGTTCTCTGTGTTTATAATTTGATACAGATGGAGCGACTGTGAGTCGTCAATTGCGTATTGAACCAATGCCATCGGAAGATATGGCCAGTGGAAGGGTTGTTCGAAGATGCGAGGTGTATCCCGCCCCTCCAGAAAGTGAAGTATGGGAGTTCTCGTGGTCTGATCCAACTGGAAGAATCATTTCAAACACTGATGTTCTTTCTATCATGGTAAGCGTTTTTTTTCAAAATTCGAATGGAAATTTCATGAAAAGTGCAAAGAAGAGAAGTTTGCTGTGTACATGAAAGTCATTCTTCTGATCGGAGTTCATTCAAAAATGCTTTAAATGCTTTCCCTAAATTATAACTGCCAATTCACTCACAAACTTGGGGCAAGTTCTGGCATACCAGGTGTCCCATACGTACTAAGTGAATGCTCCAAATGGTTTGCAAAAATAAAATTAGATCGAAATGCAAATATTTAGAATATTTTAACAAAGGTCAATTTATAATTGACTAGTTGAGCGATTGCTCTAGTAGTGAAATAGTCAAAACTAAAAAAAAATGAAAATAATCGTCAATAAAGAATTTCGTTGGGTAAATTATGTTATTTAACTTTTTAAAACAACGAAATCAACCAACAATGCAAATGGAAAGGAAATGAATAACATTCTTGTAGTGTCGATTTTTCGCTCTATTTTGACCTCATTCCATTCCCTTATTGAACTAGAATCAATCTTTTTTTTCAAAAATTTATGCTATAATCTATCTTTTAAAATGAAAGTGAGAAAAATCGTCTATCAGTAACTATTATTACGATTGTGGCTATGTCAAATGTGCAGAGATTATAGAAATTGATTGCAGATTTATTGTTCGTTTCTCAGAGTTGAACGCACCCTTATTAACGGAATAATTGATCTCCCCTGTGTATAGCCATGGTACTTTCAAAAATTACTTAGAGACAGTTTGTTTCTTATCTTTAATTGGTTAGTTTCGTTGAAGGTATAAAAGTTATGTTTGAACGGATGTATTTTTGATATTTCTGATTGTTCATGGCCTGACCCAATAAAATTCCACTCCATGTGTGAAAAGTGCTTTTCATGGGTCATTAATACACTCTCTCAAATGAAATTTGATCTTTTTTCTTTCCAAAGGTCACAGGAGAACAACCATCGGTCGCCTACACTTGCCGGGCCATAAATCTGAGGACAAGTGACCAACTAGTCGGAGAATTCACAGTCCACGCCCGAAATGTTCCGGGTTAGTTTACAAAAGTATTTTTTACAAAAGTTCATGGCAATTTGCACTGTTAACAACAATTTATATGCAGTTATTTGTGGGATGTGTCGTACAGGCATTCACAAATGGATAGCCAATCAATGCATTCTACAAAAATGAGGTGAAAGAACAGAAGGAGCCGTAAAGCAAACTGAAAAATTTAATAATAGTGAGAATGACGAGTTGCATGGTTCAAACATCGAATCTGTCATCGTTTTGACTCCAGTTAAAATATTTTCCAAAAGCTTAAGTTCTAAAATCAAAAGTTATACTTTAATTAATAAAAAATTATTTGATCCGATCATTTGTTTTGATTAAATGTTTCAACATGTGTATGTCACTATTCTAGGCTCTAATTGCCAAGGAAATCCAAGTAAGATTAGATTTTGTCTACCAATAAATTGTAGTAGTGAAGAGCATTTTAAGGGAAGTGTAAGTACAACCTTAAAATTGCACTAATTGCTTTCGAACAGGAGCATATGATCGTTATCTGGTGACACCACTTCGACTACGCTCACGTGACCTTCTGGCGAAAAATTCACTCTACGTGGCATGCGAATTAACATAAAATTCTAAAACCCCATTTCAAACTTGTTGCATGTTTTTTTGGTATCCTGATGTGCATGAATGAAAGATTTTCCTTTCAACTCAAAGTATTCATAGAGCTAATGAAAGTTCATTGTCAACATTTATTGTCATATTTCAGCAACAATTACATACTCCACTGAAATTGAGCCCATCTCACGTTCTTTGGAGTACGGACGTTCATATGAAGCCAATTGTATGATTCTGCCTGAACCCCCTCAACCAGTTGCCTATACATGGTATTTCAAAGGTCGCGTCGTTGCTGAAGGTAACCGACTCTTCCTAGCCAAGTTCGACCATTCTACAGCTGGCGAGTACATTTGTGCAGCTAGATCTCTCTATGGTTATAAGAGAGCTTATGCAAACGCTACACTTGGTCTTCATCTTAAACCCAATCCTGAAACACAAACAGGTTAGTTGAATGGTTTTGTGTAAATATCGTCTACTTAATATATTTAAGTACACCTATTATTTTAAATTTAGAATTACAAGAACCACCTGGCAGCAATCTAATCACCAACCTTGGTGATCGCCGAGAACTTCATTGCGAAATTTCAACGAGTGATCGCAATGCTGTACAGTGGTACCTCAATGGAACTCTCGCTGATGGTAACTCTCTGGCGAACAGTACCGGTCATCTTCAGCGTATTGATTATAGCCGTGTCAGTATAATGACTATCGCCGGAGTTGAGGCCTTCCACGAAGGTGTTTGGGAGTGTAGAACTCCGACAGAAAGAAAAATAGTCAACGTCTTTGTTGTCAGTAAGTGGTCCTTCATTCACGCATACTTAAATGCACCAGTAGAAGAAAGTTATGTAACTTTAACATGCGTGCATCTATCTGTACATTTTAGCGTACAATGAGATCGAAGTTAACCCACCATTATATATCCTTTCTGTGGGAGAAGACATGGAAATTCATTGCAGTGCTCAGGGATCTCGTGAGATTCCCAATACCGATTTAGAGTGGTTCTTCCGGCCAGTAGGATCCAGTATTATGCAACCGCTTGTATATGGACCTGGTGGATTTACGCGTATTGATGATCCTCGTGCCAAATACACCTCTGTCATTTCTAAGTCCAGTGTGGTTGCTTATGACGAAGGCGAATACATTTGCCGTGAACCCGGTGGAAGAACTGCCATTAGTACCCTTCAAATCGGTATGTTAAACTACAGAATTTACAAATTCAAATCTTGAAATGATTTAAATATACTGTAGAAAAAGAAAGTTATTCCTGGCTGAATTCTTTAATTACTAAACATGTAGTTATAAGTCTTAAGAAGAAGGCAAGCAGTTTATTAACGATATTGTTTTAATTAGATTTAATCAATAGGAAGAATCGGAGTTGGAGAGGCAAAATTTATTAGGCTGGGATTTTGTGTCAGAAAAGTGCACTTGAAAAAGTGTCAGAAAAGAGGAAAGTCGAGGTTGAGCAGAGTATAGTTTAAATCTGGAATTAATAAAAAGGTGTTCTAAAAAGCACTGGTATCTAGCTCAAAAGATACGGCCATTTGAAAGATGGAAAGTCTCGTTTGATGACTGTTAGGGTAATATACATTCTTGTTCCTGATTGCCCATAGAAATATATCGATTGATAGCGATTCTGAGAGAGAAGTGTGATGTTCAGCGTTGAGAGGAAGAATAGAGAGAATAGCCGAGTATTTGCATTAAAGGGGCTTTAACTCGATACAGGCAAATTTCCTGAGTCAACGCAAAGCGGAGTGCAGTACGCATTAGGCGCACGGGATGAAATGCGGGGAGTGAACTCAAAGTACGTGGAGCATTTGAGAGTGACAATATTTCCTGAAACATATCAATTAAATTAATTAATGGGCTACAGAATAATTTTGAGAAACAGTTAGAGAGAGAGAGAGAGCACACTTTTAATTTCGCAATTCGATATGACGGGGTGTCTATTTACTACTTATAGTTCGCACACTTCCTCCAACCCTCCACATCACTCCTAGTACTATTAAGATTCGACCCGGCCAGGACGTCAGCGTTCTTTGCTACTCCATGCAAGCAGATCGACGTTCGCGTGGACCACGACCAAGGCTCCGAGCTTATGATCCCCGACTTCCACTACAAGCCAGAGAAGCTCCTGATAATGCCATTAGTGGAATTGTGATTCGAGCTGATGCCTCCTTCAACGGAACAGTCATTGAATGCTACTCCGATGTAAGTCCATCATTAAAACATTGGCCAAATATCTTTATTTTTTACTAATAAAGAAAAAAGTATACACATTCAATTATGTTACAGCGGATACAAAGTTCTGGCTTAGGGAAAAGGCTTATTGGTTTCGGGATAATTGTTTTTTTTAAATTCGGTGAAGAAATTGTTCTATTTTTCAAGATGCTCTTTCGAGGCGACTTATAATGGAATTATGCACTGCCTTCATATGTTTTAAAGCAACTGACAGCCCGGCTCTTACAAACTTTGTTATTCCTACCGAGATTCCATGAGCATTGTACCATACCATTTGCCCTTGAATCTTCCTAGTGGAACATTTTGGATATTAGGCTTCTGGTTTAGTCATTTAAACTTCGAAAAGATCTTGATATGACTGGGAAAAGACTCCCGACCTCAGTGTTCAAAATTATTTAAACTAAATGAGACAAGTTTCCGCGGTAAATGGAAAACTATTTCCTGATTGCTCATTCAGAGGCAGCAATTGAAGGGGTATATGCGAATCAGTCGTTAAAAGTATATTTGGACACAACACGAGAGAAACGTGAGGATGCGAACAAGTAGAGCATTTCCTCATAACTGCAATATTTATTTATATGAAATGGCAGACGTTTTGACAGTTATCATTAGCCCTTTAGTTACCTTCAGGCTTCACAGAAGGGAAGGAACATCAAATTGAAAAAAGTCGAGAGGGGGGGGGAACAGAAGAGTGTTTCAAAGATGTAAGAGACAAACACAAAGGTATAAAAAGGTGAGGTGATTACTGTGGAAGTGGGAGGATATGACATAGAGTTGGGGCCATGGTAGTTAGAAGCCAGAAGTCAACTGCTTGTTAATAAACTTTTTTTACCGTATGAGTATACGCTGCCCAGGGTGCACCACATGGAGGTAAGTCTATCGCGCACCCCATAACTGCAATATACAAATATAAAAGCACTAAATGGAGTAGAAATTCGAAGATAAGTATATACTTTGAATGGACTGAAAACACGAGTTAGCAATTTGACTTGAAAAAGTTCACCACAGCCCTACATTTAAACTGTCAAGGTCAGTAGGTTAGTTTAATGGGAGCATAAATTGAAGTTATTAGGGTCGGTCAGAGTACGATCTCCCACTGATAATGAATAGCAAATTAGAAACTGAAGGGCGTAGATAACTGATTACCAAAGAATAAAGGCATTCATGGTGAATAATGGCAGTCATGCGATCTGCTAGGTGATTTAGTCTGTCACCGATTGAAGCGAATAAAGCCTAAGATGACAGTGAAGAGATGTATTTATGAAACATAAAGGAGCGGATAAGTGTTTAACGTAATACATTAATGTGCTGTTTACAACTAGATGCCAAACGTGAAGCCAGTCAGTGTAATCATCCAGGTTGAGGACATCTGTCCACCTGGTTATCGTCGTTGCCGCAATGGCGAATGCCTCGAAGCTGGTCGATTCTGTGATGGAATTCGTGATTGTGCCGATGGAAGTGATGAAGATCAATCACTCTGCCGTACGTTTCTAAACTTTTCATTTGCCGTGAGGAAATCCACTGTCGAAATAACTTTTTACATTTTAATAGATGCCTGTGACCCAATCGTGATGACATGTGAGACTTATCGTGGACAACAACCACGCAAACAAACCTACATGGTTCATTGGCAATGCGATGGTGAAGATGATTGCGGCAATGGTTACGATGAAGCCAACTGTCAAGGTAGGAAAAGTTCGATTGTATTCCTACGATGTTATGAACAAAGTAATGAATAAACTTGTTATTATTTTTCCAGATCCAGCCATCAACTTCTGCGTCAAACAGTCCTACACATGCCCTTCAACTGGTCTTCAAATTCCACGAGCCTTCATGTGCGACTCAGATCCCGATTGTGAACGCAATGAGGATGAAGATCAGTGCAGTAAGTTCATGAAATGCATTCATTAGAATAAGTCATCGTCTTCTGACGTCTACTAATTAGGTGCGTGTTTAAATCGAATTAGGAGAACCACAGATTCTTAATGCGCCAAGAAGTCAATATGCCCACCGCCGTGGTGACACTGTGACCTTGGCCTGTGAAGTCGCCGGTCGTCCTAACCCACGTGTAATCTGGCGCTTCAACTGGGGTTGCCTGCCTGATAGTGGACGTATGTCCGTTCGTAACTTTGTGGAGAATTGTGGAACTCCCAACGAGAAGACTGTCTCCACCCTGACTATTAGCAACTTTAGGCCCGGAGATGACGGTATTTACAACTGCGAGGGTCTCAATGGACTTAAGCGTGCAATGTCTCGTGATTATACTGTCATTCTTACTGACTAAGGTGTTCTCCATTTTTTTCAATTCTTCAGCCCAATTAGTTGTGAGTTATTGCAGTAGCTCTCGTCCTACTTAGTAACAGTCAGTAACTGAAATGTTTTAATTTCATTTTAGAATATCTTCTGTAGTGTTGGCCTACTCTAGCATGCATCAATATTACGCACTTCTTCAAATTCAAACATTAATGGCAATCAACTATGTACTTTTTGAATGTCTATTCTCATTAATTGTGTCCCTAGATATATTCGACTCTCCTTCGAGTTAGGTCTATTAGAGTTATGTATTCTATTTTCCTCCACGTCCTCTTTCTCCTTCAAGGTGTAGGCTTTCTTCTCTCCCCCCGTTAAAATTTTGCTCTTTATTTTAATTCAGTATAGGAATATATATAATCACCGTTGACAATGACCCTATGCCTTTCGTCTCTCTGAATTTGTCATCTCTATCATAAATAATAATAATAATGTATTAAAATTAAAATTTTTGTGTGATCTGAAAGCAAAAATAAACCTAAACCAGTGTCTCCTCCCTCAAATGACCCCTCTCCCCACAAACCTTAAAAGGAATTTTGAGATATGGCAGAACAGTGCCAATAGAGTAAATTGTTGATAGGGTTTTATAACGAAAACTAACCCCAATAACTACAATGTTCAACTATCTGTAAAGCCCAGATCTTAGAAAAAGATTATCTCACTTCAGAAAGATTGACCTAACCGATTCAAACTTATTTATTTCTATCAAATGGCAGGCTTTGTGATAGCTATCATTAGCCCTTTGGTTGACTTCGAGCTTTATAGTGGGGAGGAGCAAACAATGTCACAAAAGTCGAGAAGGGCAACAGAAGAGTTATTCACAGATATAAAAGAGGCATACAGGAAGGTAGAGAAAAAGGTGATGTGAGGTGAGTACTGTAGAAGTGGTAGAATATGACATACAGTGGGGTCGTGTTAGCTTGAAGTCAACTCCTGGTCAATAGACTTTTATCGCATGAGCATAAGTTGCGCATGATGCGCCACGTGGAGGTAAGTTTACCGCACATCTTTCATCCAAACATATAAAGCGGTTAGGTTTAAGATGGGATCGGCCTTAGAGTAGAAGATAATAGTATAAGGTCAAGAGAACGGATCAGGGTAATGACCTTCTAACTCAACTACCACAAACTAGCAACGACTCGGAGTCAGAGACTGCTAAGAATTATTAAAGAATGAACA